TGTCATTCAAGTCGCTTAGATAATATTTTTTAATTTTTTAATTTTGGAAACATGCTGTTTCTTTAAAAAAAAAAGAAATTCAGGACAGCATAAGGAGATTAATGTCTTCTTAAACCAGTCATCGCGAATACCAAAGATTAAGGATTCAAGGGATTCCCAAATCCTTTCAGGAATAGGCTATAGAATATACCATAATGATTCCAAATACATTTTAGCCGATAACTGCTTCCCAGTTTATTATAATTTAAAAAAAAAAATGATTTTTAATATATGAATCACTTTTTTCTTAGAGACCAATAGTTTCAAATTGTTATCCTGTTGGAAAAGGACTCAAAAAGATAAACAGATAGATGACTCCCCGACTGCCTCTTCTCACAGGTTCGGCAGGAGCGTGCAGCCCGTGTGTCTTCCTGAGGAGAACGCTCGCTACACGTCCCTCTCTGGCTGCAGTATCTCCGGCTGGGGGACGACGTCGGAGAGAGCGCCGCCCATCCCGCAGGTGAGAGATGTCCTTTTGCCCTCCTCTCCGCTGAGACGCTGGTCACTTAGAAGGTTTATTTGCCCTGTTTTAGATCGTAGATTTGGTTTATTTGTCCTGTTTTAGATCGTAATTTGGTTTATTCTGTGTTTTATGATCGTATGTCTTCAAGTTTTCGAGATTTATTATCAATGTTTACTATCTGTTATCTATGTCCTCTGACCGTACCGGCGGCCATTTCCCTCCACCAGAACATCCCGAGGTCAGGCGAGGTGCAGGTGTACGACATGTCGGTGTGCACGGGCCCGGACAGGTACGGCCAATTCGAGGTCACTTCGGGCATGGTGTGCGCCGGCCACCTCGACGGCCGAATCGACACGTGCACGGGCGACTCCGGGGGCCCTCTCACGTGCGTGTCGAACGGGCGGCACGTGCTGTACGGCATCACGTCCTGGGGCAAGGGGTGCGGGCGCAGAGGGCAGCCGGGCATGTACACCAAGATCACCAAGTTCCTACGCTGGATCCACGACATCGTTGTGTGAGCGAGGAAAGGGTTCTGACGCTCGAGGTTCTTCTGCGAGGTTCTTCTCCGGATCTCTTCGAGTGGCGCTCAGAAAGACGGGAAAGGCGACCCTTGTTGGGGGAGGACACTTGGCGCTGGCGAAGGACTAGGGTGTTTGAGGTGTTCCCGTGTGACGAAGCAAAGCTAGACTTTGATCCTGAATATTGTGAAGGATGAAGAACCATGTATACTTTAAGTTAGTGAGTGGTTGGCCTTGTATATGGGAGCGTTATAACAGCACCAGAACATTGTGATATGATTAGTTCAAATGTGAACAAAGTAGCATTCTTTACTAAATAACTATACTGAAAAAATGTGTAATGTGGAGACGGTGCATTAAGAAATAAACTTTACTAGTGAAATACAGACCGCAAATGTACCACCATAATGTGCAATGAGTGTTGTAAATCCCTTATGGTGTACTCTAAAGATATCCCAGTATTATGATGCATTAGCGAACATGGGCATTTAAAAGCAGCGACTGAAGACTAGACGTGGAACTAAATAATATTTCTGTTTCTTTTGAAGTGGTGACAAGTAACCTTCTTGACACCACGAAGAAATCTTACTATTTTTAGATCACCGGTTCTCCTCCTTCCGCGATAGAAATTACGAAATACATGAGTGAAATGAACATTAAGTGCCCGCGAGTTCTCGTCATGTATCGGCCAGTACAGAGAGTATGTGACGTTACTCCTTATATCCTGTTGGTTACTCTTTAACAGCTCATTTCTCCAGCAATCCATTCGTCCACGTCTCGACAGGAACTGTTGTGCGTGGAATACTCTTCTGATGTCATTCATAACATCATTGTGAACGTGTACCTTGGTGTTTGTTTGTCTTCTTCCTCAAAACGACGCTTGGATATATATATGTGTATGCGGCGTTCATCGCGTGTGTTTATTTATGAACACGTCGTTGCAATATAGACAACAGGGAGACTTTAGGTCGAAGGTTGTTTTCGTTTATACTGTTTGTTTTAGTCTCTCTCTCTCTATCTATCTATCTCTCATCTTCTTTGTCTCACTCATATATAATTTAAGCATCTTGTTCCAGATTTCTGTGATTTCAGTCTTTCTTCAATGTCTTTCAAAGTTGGTCATATATTTATCATTTGTGTAGGATCTTAATTTACGCGCGGATTAATTATACATCGTATATTTAATGCTCATCCTTCCTTTATTTACGTGCTGTCTTTTTCTGTGGATAAAATCAAATTGAATAACTGTCATTTCTTGGTTTAGGAAAACAGATTGATTTATCCTTCAAGTATTCTCAGAAAAATTTAGTAGTGGAAATACAGACTTTGTTATTACCAATTCTTGTCTTATCATAATTAATTTTCACGATATCAAGCAATACACATGTTTCATTTTTATATGTAATGGAAAAGCTATGTGTCATATAGCTGCCAAAGAATGCATTTTCTGTGTGTTTTATTATTACTTTTTTAAAGTTCGGTACACATTTTGTATACATTTTGTCTCAGTTGTATGTGAAAAAAAAATAATGATACCTTTTTATTTGAAGAGAAAAAAATAATTATTCGTCTTGATATTGAAGACGACATAATGAAGAAATTTTCTTTGAATGTTTTAGAAAGAGAATGTGATTCTGTCAATCATAATTATGACGAATGTATCTTAGAATGTTTTAGAAAAAGAAGCGATTTTTTAATGATGGTTTGTTCCGTTATGACTCAGGATGTTGTTGGGCATTTGTTCATGCTGATGTTCTGCGTGTTAATGATAACACTTGCAGAACACCATTTCTTTGTTATTGTTAAACTCACTGTCATGATGGACACGGTGTTGCCATCACGTAGGTTTAAGATTTTTGTTATAACGAATCGAACCCCGAGTTGTTTATTTGTTTTAATAAACATGAACATTTCTTTTTATTCAGTTTCTTTTCTTTCCTTGAGGTTTGTCTTTTATATTGAGATGGGAAAGATGCAACGTCACTGCATTTTTCAGGTTACATATTCAATTAAATGTTGATGCTAGAATGATAATAACGACGATAAGAATTATTATCAGTATTATTTTCATGATAATAATAATGATGATAATAACAGATAATAATATTTCTGATAACAAAAATATCATTGGTAATGCTTAAGATGATATTAAAGATAACAGTAAAAATAACAATGACGAAAAACAAAACTTCAAACGACAAAACATTTTTCTTTATTTATAAGGAATAATTCACATTGCAATACCACACTACCAATAAATAACACCAGATAGGAGTGATGAACAACAAAAAATCAACCCCGAGATTTCTCTTGATTTTACTTATCTTACATAAAACAATTTTCTTGTCTCAGTCAAAAACAAATAATATTTTCTTGTTTTACAGATGAAATCGTCATTATAAAAATATCTCATCTCGCACACGTTTTTTTTATCGCGGATGAAAAGATGAAAAAGAATATATTTCACAGAAATAAATAAACTCATTTACCAACACTGTAAAAAAAAAGACTTTGAAAATTATTAATAATTACGTTAATAAAGAATCTAATTTTTGAGTTTGTTGATTATTACTGTAATGACGATGACTATGATAATGATCGTCATAGAAAACAAGCCTGATATTTAATTAGGATAAAAGATAATAATCCTGACATTAATGATAGTGATAATGAGAATGACAATGATGCAGATGATAGTAGTAATAATGGTAATGTAAACTTGGATGAAAATGAATATGATAATAGCGTTTATGATGATGATAAAACAATAATAATATTAGCAATAATAATGATGATAATGATATAGATGATGATGATAATAATAATAATAATAATAATAATAATAATAATAATAATAATAATAATAATAATAATAACAATAATAATCAAAATAATAATAATATAGTAATGACAACTGGACAATAATGAAAGTAACAGCAACGAAAATAATCATTATTATCAATATTACTAATGCTATTATCGTGACTATGAACATGGTGATAATAATAATGATAATAAAATAATAGTAATGGTAATGGTGATGATAACAGTAGTTCTACCATTAGTTGTAGTGGCAGCACCAGCAATAGTAGTGGTAACTATGATAAAAATAATAATAAAAATGATGATAATGATAGCAATGATTAATAACAATAATAATAATGTCATTAATATTAATTGTTATTGTTATTTCTATCATTATTATCATCAACAGTAATGGTAGTAGTAGCAGTACCATTATTATTATTATTATCAAATTTATTATCAACATTATTATTATCGTTATCATTGTTATTATACATCATTGTAACAATAATAATAAAATGGATGATGATAATGAAAATAATAATGATTATGTCAGCAATAACAAACATAATAATAATGAAAACTATTATTAAAATAATCACGATAAACTTACGGACAGTGATGTATTGTACTGTCACTGTCACTGTCACTGTCACTACCTTTCACTGTTTCACTGTTTCAAAAGAGGTTCATTTTGGGGGTTTTCTTAATTTGATTTTTTTAATGTTTTGGAGACCGGTTTTTTATTGTCGGTAAATTGATCATGATCATAATTAATATTCTCTATTTTCTTATAATTATTTTTGAAGAAATCTGCCCTTCCCTTCCCTTCCCTTCTCTTCCCCTCCATTCCCTATTTACTCTTTATAATACAAAGCAAAGGAGTTCAATATACAAAAAAATACAATTCGAAAGGTTGAGCGAAGACTAGATAATGAGACCGCGTGTTTTCAGACACTTTCTGTCACTTTTTCGGTCACTTTCAGGCACTTTCATGGTCACTTTCAGACACATTTTCGGTCACTTTCAGTCACATTTTCGTTCGCTTTAAGGCACTTTTTACGATCACATTTTCAGTCATTTTATCGGTCATTCCCAAGCACTCTCCCACTCATGTTTAGTTTTCGGAAAGTTTTAAGTTACTTCTAGTTGCTTTCAGTCACGTCTTTCAAACA